GAGATGCCTGAATAACTGGTTGCAAAAGTTTAATTTGTTTGGAATGAAAGGTAGTTTTTTTACTGATAGTCTAGATTATTTTTGACAAGCTAGAGACTAAAACCCAATGAGACAGCTAAATCCAGGGAGGATTTTTTATTCTAAGTTGGGCAGAAGCAAAGCCTTGTAAGGCACGATTCAAGCACAATAGGTGGTGGCTGACAGTCAAAGTTTTAATTTTGTCCACAAGCTAGAAGGTTGCCAGCAGGATTCTGTGAACTGTCCTTTACTCATAGCTCTGCCTTTATATAATGCAGTTAACTCAAGTCTAAAATATTTCTCCTTAATTGGGGCTATAATTAAGAATATATAAATAAGTTTAAGTTGAACTTAGGGTAATCACTAGATCTTTTTGGTACACTTTTTAGTTATTTATTCTATGTTTTGTTTTGATGTGTTTGCTTATTGGGCTTTAGTCCTCCATGGGCTTTTATTAAAAGCTTTTTAAAATCCAGTTAAAACAATGCCATCCTGTGGTTAGAGGACTTCGCAACCTATGTATGGACACCACTTGTGTGGCCTTATGTTCACACCAAGGTTAGCTTGATATTCTCTATGTAACCTTTCCCTGCTGTTTTTAATGAAAGCACTACCGTTGTAGTAAAGTTTAGTTACTATTGTTTCTAGAGTCTCATCGACTTCTCCTTTACTCAGCATTACACTGTAACCTTGATGACTAGGCAGAGCAGAATTAGATATTAGGTCAGATGACTTTCAGGAACTTTCTTTGAAGATTTTAGACTTTGTTTTGAGGTGACAGCATGTCTTCTGGGTGAACGATCCAGGCTGGCATATGGCTGCTGTGCCATGCTGCCTTAAAAAGGATCTGCAGAAATCATGATGGAGCATCCAAGACTACTATTTATATCGGTATCTCTGTTCCTCCCTGTGTGGGGTTTTTTTCCCCTTAGGCTGGTGTAAGGATTTTTTGAGTTTGGTAGACAAGAGCTTGGGTTGAAGATAAAGTATTGTCTGCTGTGCGGATGGCCAGGAAAATATTGTGGAAAGAGCGATGTTCCATCTGCAATCCTGTTGCAGTCTTCCTTTGCTAACAAGTTTCCACCATTGTGGTAGATAGGTCTGTGTGTGTTCTGCTGTTGAAGTCTTCATGATGCTTTAGGCTTTGCAGCCAAGTTCATCTCTTCCAGCACTTAATCTCCTCCTAGCATGATGTAAGCTAGCATTTCTTGGGTGAAATGGTATTCCCTTCTTTGTAGCCTGCATCAGGGATCTGTAGGCTTACGTTCTGTTGTGACCAGCTAGTGGCCTTCTAACACGAGAATCTTATTCCTGCTAGTTCTCTTAAACTCAGGAAAAGGATGTGCTTAGCAGTAGGACTTGCAGTGCATTGTCGCTCTTGCCTTTTGAGAGAACAATTTGCTGTGTTCCCCTGCTAAAATTCTAGCCAGCTCCAAAGCAGCCTACCTGTGTGGTATGCTACTAGGTAACTCCCTTGATTTTTCCAACATCCTAATCTTCCCACTTAAACGTGATCTTAGAGTATTTAGAGTGTAGTTGGCAGGTTTAGTGGAATCTTACCGCTATTCTACATCAAAGGTATTTTATCTGTCGGTATAGACTATGCATAAAAATTTGTTATAGAGGCTCATGAAAAATTGCCTCTTCCAAACAGCAGATTTCCGGGTCATCCTCTGGAACAGTGCCTTTTTATGGCCAGTTATGGAGTGCTTTCAGTCATTTCTTCCAGGATACGTTTTCACCCCTCACCGTGTTGGCTCTGTGCTGTCATTGCTATCAGCTCTGTTTCAGCCTTTCCACTTTTTTCTTTTTGGATGTGAAATTCAATTGCAGTAAGCCACTGAGTCACTTACTGCTTAGGAGAACAAGGATGCTTTGCTCTGATAGCAAGATATCAGCAAATTCCTGCTGGTTTAAGGGAAAGCAATGTGCTTTGTGGTGTGGGAGAAATGCAGAAAGTTTTCTTAAAGAGATTTCTTGTATTTTGTGAAGGATCTGTAATGAGAGGAAAAATGCTTTTTAGCTTTTGGCTCTAGAGAATGTCATGTATGTTCAAATTTGCATTTCCCATGGTAAGAGTTAGGTCCTGCTAAAAGTCTTGCAAAAATCTTCTTAGAAGTTTTCTAGTTTTGCTTCCTGTTCATACATGTGTGACACTGAACATTGAGGGAGAAATTTCAAGACTTTCTGCATTCTTTCTTGCAGTACTGAATATTTGAAACCAGCCTATAAAGCAGTTGTGTTGTCCCAGTCTCGCAAGTCATCTTCCATTAAGTGTTATGGACACAAGGATAGCTGGGCTTATGGGGCATTAAAGATTTCTGCAAACTTTTTACTAGTATATATATATAATTAATTGCTTTTAAATTATTTTTTTTGTGTGGCTTTACATAGTCATGCCTGCTTGAGACAAAGGTGTATTGTGGTGAATTCAGCTCCTACAGATCGAGGCGGATTTGATTTAAATAACATGAATTAGATCCTGTCCTCCCCCCCATCCAAAACTGGTTTGGGAAAAAAGTAACCTTTAGAAGGAGTATAGCTCAATCAAAAGGAAAGTAGTCTGCCTCTAGGTATGTCTGTTGCTACTGGAGGATCTTACTGATATGTTGGAGCTGTGAGTGGAGAGAGTGGCTGCATTACTGATTAGAAACTCATGTTTTAGAGAAACCTGTTTTTGGGAAGGCCTTGGCTTTATAGATTAGCCATGTAACACTTGGAGTATAGGATCTCCAGTCTTTCATCCAACTGTCTTTCCATCTGCTTTGCTCTTAACGTATGCAGTGTCCTGAAAAGAGTTTGTCTTTGGTAGACAAAAACCCTGATGCAATAAATGAGTTATTCTTGGAGTCAGAATAGAATTTTTGAGACTGGAGAGCTTTAGCTGCTGGGGAGCTGAATCTAAAAGGCATCTGTAACCCTATATTCAAAGCTGAAATAATGATATTGGCTTGTTTTTTGTGTATGTTTTGGTTTCATATTTTTTTTAGAGCTAAGGAAGTGTGGAGAAATACATTAGTGTTATTGATTTGGTCTGTAGAAAGTCATCAAGGAAAAAGGTTTGAGTTTCTATCAGAAACAATGCTTTGTTCCACCTTGTCAGCCTTTTCTATTTCAGGTTATCTGAGTAGCAACCTGATTCAGTGGTAAGAATCAAGGTCATATTTTATTCAGTAGTAGAAAATGGAAAATCTGGCAAGAGCCAAGATACTTGTTTTGAAATGGTTTTATTTAGCCCTTTCTGCTACAGCTGCTGTCAATGGAAAGAGATAAAGCTGATGACAGAATACAAGGAATTTACTGTTTGTTATTCATGACTTGCTAGAGGTTTAAGTCTGTAAAGGGTTTTGTTATTCTTTTCATGGGTCTTTCAGGTTTTCAGATTTGTTTGCCTGGCAAGAAATTGGATGAAGCAATTAAAGAAAAGATGCATACTTTTCTTGACTTATTAACCTCACCAGAAAATTTGAATGGAATTTAATCTACAGACTATTCATGGGCAAATTCACTAGTTAAAATTGCACTGTATAGAGATTATGCTCATGCTTAAATCTGTCATTATTTGAATAAACTTTAGACTTCTGTGGTAAGGTGTCATCTGACCTTATTGGCACCCACGGACCTAACTAGCTCTATTGTGAAGCCTTTAGTTTAAAAATAATAATCAATGTTACAAATTTAGAGCAGCTGTAGACCTCAATAGGATGTGGAATGAATGACTGAACATTTACCTTTTAATGCAACAAAAAAACTGTCAAAGAGGAACAGTTATCAGTAGCACTGTATTGCTTGTTCTTAACAGTAAATTTGGTGTTTCTTGGTGTACATAGAAAATTAATGAATATTGCAAAGACTTGCCTTCCTTAAGAACTCCTTGATATCAAGTATAATGAATCAAAATGCCTGCCAGGTGTTGTAATACTTTCGAAACTTCATGGTGCTCTCAGCATTTTCATCTGGATTCTTATTAACTTGTGGCTTGGCTGTCTTTCCTCCTGCTTAGGAACATTAATGTGTACTTTCATTTAGGACTGCTATAGGTGCATTTTGGGAGCATGGAGGTGAAAAGCGGGTTGGTATTACAGGAGTGTGTAATGTGATGATTCTGATTTAAACAGATGTTATGGGGAAGGACAGAAAGAAGCCAAGTCACTTTGCTTTTACCTTCCCATTGAAACAAATGGAAGAAACTTCAGTTCTGATTCAAGATGTCAGTCTTCCAACTGAGCCATCTTCTTGAAGGCAAACTGATGCAGTTCTAGTTTTAGAGCACCAGTGTTAAAAATTTCCATCCATACCTACTATAATGTGTTCTGTACTTACAACTGGACATGTGCACGTGACAGTTATGTTTGTTTTACGTATTGCTCAATATTACATTGCTTTTCCTGCAGTCTTCCCTGGAATCTGCATCTTAAATTGTGCTACCTTTCACAAGTATGCCAGTAACAAGTTGCTACAGGCTATGTTCTGTTTTTAGGCACTCACAACTTAATTTCAGTGTACTTCCACAGCTACAAATCAGAAAAAGATTCAGTGCTTTAAAAGAATCTCTTGCAAATATTTTATAGGCACAGTCATTCATATAAACAAAGCATGGTTGTTATTCTGTAGAGAAACATTTTCTGTTTCCAAAAAGAATACTATCCAAAATAGTGAAGTCTTAAAAGGAAGCTGTTCGACAATATTTTTCATTGCCTGACAAAAATCAAGTTTCTCATTGCTGACATTTCTCCCCCTTTTTCTTCATAGAGGAGTTAAAAACAAAAACAAAAGCCCCAACATGGTTACAAGTGACATGCTAGGGAGAAAATAGTGACCTTTTAAAGGAATTACTGTATTTTTTTGCTTTGAAAGCGGCTCTAGTAAGATTTGCCCTTGTTGTGCATATAATTCCCTTCTAAATTTTGTCTAAAGAGCTTTAGTTAGTTGTAAGCATTGGTTTCATTTTTTGGAAGGGGTGCTGAAGACAGACCTTCAGTATGTATGTGTTTAAGTATAAATTTGTCAAGTAAGTTTTCTGACAACTGTTTAGCACTGATTTCCATAAGAGAAATGACAATCAGGTAACGTGACTAGAGTTGGAAGGGACTTCTAAATTGTCATTTCTCTTCCCAGATGCTACCAAAGGTTAGAGATCGGAAGCAGAAAAGGCAGACTGAAACAAACAGTATGAGGTTTCCCAAGTAACAGACTACTGTATTGACCATGTGTTTTTAATTTTAAAAACTTACAAGATGTCTGCTGTAGGAGATAATACATTTTAAAATACATGGATTTTTCATATGTTGAATTATTCAGAGGTTGAACTACAGTCTCAATGTTTCTTAATTCATAAATTATCTAAAAGTTAAATTAGCAATTCAGAATGTATTAAAAGCAGTTGTTTGTCTGTAGTATATGTTAATACCAGAACAAGACTGTTGTACGAAATACTTAGGTTTTTGGTTATTCAGAATGAAGCAACACACATAATCTCCTCTAGGTGCACATTTTCTGAAACTACATGCTTTCACATGTGAAAGTTTTAATGTAAGCACGTAAAAGTAGCGAGAAAAAATCTTCTTTTTTCCTTCCTGTAATTACAGAAGCTGCTGGGTTTGTTTTGCTACTGATGAGGATGATCGGACAGCAGAGTGGGTGAGACCTTGCAGGTGCAGGGGCTCTACGAAATGGGTTCATCAGACTTGTCTGCAGCGCTGGGTGGATGAAAAGCAAAGAGGAAACAGTACTGCTAGAGTTGCTTGTCCTCAGTGCAATGCAGAATATTTAATAGTATTTCCAAAGCTAGGTAAGATATGTGTCATTTAAATTTTAAACATAATGGGTTGTTTCTTTATATTGCTCTTACTTCTTTTTCCCCCTTTTGTGCTTGGAGCATCAGTTCTGTTGAAATCTTGTCAATTCCATTTTCCAGACAGAAAGAAATAACTTTATATTCTGCTTGCATCCTATTTGGTGGCTTAGTTAACTACCTTCTGAAAATTTTGGATGTGTTCCACTTGGGTATATTGATGTCTTACAAGTTATTGACCTATAATTAATCATGGTTAATGTGATTGATTATTTTTTTTCTCATTGAGCAGAGGGTGACTTCTTTCAGCAGTTGCCAGATATTAGCACATAAACATGTACTTTTTTTCCTCAGCTTACAGAGAAACTGTTATCAAAGGAAATTCAGAGGAAAGAACCTTGCTGAGCAACCTGTTGCATTACCTGAAAAACCTATTTTTACTGTGTTGTGGAGGTATTCCTGAGTCAGTATTGCCTTATATTCAGGACACAGAATGGTGGTTGCTGGGCACTGCTCTAGCTCTGTTTGTCAAGGTGAAAGAAAAGAGTTGGAGGTGGTCTTCCAGAGTCTGCTTGAGTAGCCGAGTAGGACACTGCACAAGATGTTGCATATATTTAAATTAGCAGTGGTTGATGTTATTACAGCCCCCATTTGCCCATATATTCTATGGGGTATATTAAATAGGGCAAGAAAACGAAATGTTGACAGGGCAACTTAAATTTTGTTTAAAGGTAAAACTGCTTGTTAAACAAAAGCTGATACAGCATGTGAATACAGGCATTTAGAGGATTTTAAAGAAGATTTTTTTTTAAGTATCTTATTTCTGTAATGAAACAGCTGAAAGTAACTTGCACTGTCAGTTCTTTGGGCTGGACCTCTTTTCTGTTAGTATAAGGGCTGACAAAATTAAAGTGTGAAGCGAACTTTGTGGGTGATGACATTGATTTCCATGATAGAACACTGAGAATGGGAAAGAAAATATGGACTAGTGTATTGTTGATATTCAAGAAAACATAAACCAGCTTGAAACTTACAACCAAGTTATTCACATATCAACCACAATTCAGCTTTGCTATAAGGATAAAAGGTAGAAAGGAATCTTAATCTCCATCATAAAGGAGGCACCAAAAGGTAACATTTAGCATTGTCTTTGGGGGAAAAAATGGTTTGATATCTGGACACTTACAATGTACCACAAAACTTGAAGCTGTTTAAAATTGCAATTTCATCATTCAAGATACAAGTAAGAATGTGAGCTGTATTTGCATTTTATTTTGGCAATGAGAAAAAGGGGAAGCAACTATAGTCTGGAGAGGATATGCGCACATAAACAACAACCGGCATTTTAATTTGTTCTTGCAATTTGTGGCATGCTTTTATTTGAAAGCTAAGATTCCTAAATGCTAACGTTCCTAGCTTCTGAAGTTAGCTTAAAGTGCTTGCATGAGATTGTCCAGCTCTTGCATGCAGGCATGCAAGAATCTTTTGATGTATTTTCACTCACAATACCATCTTTTCCTGTTTTTAAAGATGGGAAGGGCATAAAAATTCAGACTTGTGGAGGAGTACACAAGACGTTGATAGTAGAGCAGGGAAATGAATTTAGGTCCATCAAACACCAATCGTGAGTTTGAAGTGCCTTAAACAAGTGAGAGTCTTGCCTCTTTGTAGCTCTTCCTAGTAACCCAAAACTGTGATATCACAAATCAACTAGAAGTCAAGGTCACACCAGGCAGAGTTAGGACAGTAAGATGTTTTCAAGCAGTCTTGCCAGTCGTCCCATTTCTGCTGCAGCAGCTATCTTTTGAAGACATTACTAGTCATAGCATTCAAGAAAACTTGAGCAGGGAAGAAGTAACAACTAGTTTCCCTGAGGTGGTACAGTTCAGAAACTTACTTACATTAAGACTTCTCTGATGTACTGCTGGAAACATTTTTCTAAAAACAGATTTTG